ACACATACATACATACAGACAGACATGCATACATACATACAGGCAGACATGCATACATACATACGTACGTACGTAGGTACGTACGTACGTACGTATGTAAGAATATATATATATATATATATATATATATATCGTGAATATACCGTGCATGGCTAACGTTCGAGATCATACATTGGCCGTCGTATTTACGTATAAGACTATAATACGTGCAAAAGATAGGACCCATATTCATACTCAGTAAATACCCGACAAACAACAAGCATGACTTAATCATGTTCCACGCAAAACTCACTTGTGAACTTGTGACAGACTACAGATATTGGTTTGTTCCACATTTGCCCACAACGTACATGTCTGCCAAGGGAAGCATCTCACTGTCTTCACTTTCGTCATCGACTCTGAAGGCTCGGGAGGACACCAAGCCAGCTGCTAATTGGTATGCAGCGAATGTCCTCACCTATAGATGAACCATAGATGTATAATAACGTGTGGAATAATTAAGCAAGGCAACGCGAATGTCCTCACCTATAGATGGCCCATAGATGTATAACAACGTGTGGAATAGTTAAGCAAGGCAACGCGAATGTCCTCACCTATAGATGACCCATAGATGTATAATAACGTATGGAATTGTTAAGCAAGGCAACGTGAATGTCCTGACCCATAGATGACCCATATATGTATAATATCATGTGGAATATTTAAGCAAGGCAACGCGAATGTCCTGACCCATAGATGAATGATAAAGTATGGGCTAGCTACGCAAGGCAAAGCGAACGTCCTGACCTACAGATGTATAAAAACGTATGGATTAGCTAAGCGAGGTAAAGCGAATGTCCTGACCTATAGATGCATCATAACGTATGGAATAGTTAAGCATAAGAAGGGACACGCATAAACTCAAGCTGCCGACATTAGGAATAACCTCATCAATTATCAATACTTTCACCATCGCCCTTGAATACATTGGAAGACACCAGCCAATCAGATTGCTGTTGTGCATTGACCTGTGGTACCATGGAAATGGCTGACAACAAATTACACACTTTTCTATCAATTAAAACCCGACAACCTTTTCAGCAGGGCAAACTCGGTTTATCAGGATAAATCGAGTTTATCGGGAAAAATCTACTACTCGCACTACAAATCACGCGGTCTGACCAGCAAGACGATAGCGACTTGGATACAAAAACGTAAGTATACCAACGAGAAAACAAAACTAGTGTGCTCTTAATGCAACAGCAACTGCACCGTGTATGTTAATCGTCTGGGCAGTCAAGATATGACCATGCCAATTGCACAGTAACTGGCTTCTTGCGAAAACACCTACAGCGCACAAAGGGATGTGACACACCACCACACAGCACACCAATCAGAAGAGCACAACGAAACATATGCAGCCGAATAATAACTCTTGCCTTGCCATTGAAGAGTGTCTCGTTGTCGCGCACTAGCGGGGTGTATGTATCGCTGAATTCCTTCTGAAGGCGGTCTGGTTGCGGGTGTGAGAGGGTTAGGGAACGAATGGTTATGAGTTACTTAGAACAGATGGGGGAGCCTGCTGTGTGACTGATGGCAAACTCCCACATGCATAGACGCATCAGAAAGTATGCGTAATTCCATATGTTTTTTTAGGGTTTAGGAGGGGTTTTTAATGTCTCATATGTGTTTAGGGTTTAGGGGTTTTAAAGTTCCATATATTGTGTTTGCGCAAGTGACATACTTGCATCACTTTCTACCTGTTACCAGGCGCGACAAAACTAATTCTACATGACTCTGACTTCACATACATTTGGTATCAATCAATTTGGCAGTAAAACAAAACATTTGGTATCATTCTATGTGGCAGTAAAACAAAAACACGTACATGTACATACGCCCTTCATATTTAGATACGTATAATGCAGAAAAAAGTAGTACCTGCGGCTGTGATAGTTTGGCGTTGTGCGCACGTGCCCTGAAGCCAAGCCGTCTCGTCCGCAGTCCACGTGGCAGGCATAGTCACACTAGTTGGCATGGTCTATAAATAGAACATGGTAGGTAGGGCTGCATTAGTAGCTGGCATTGTCACACTAGTAGGCATAGTCTATAAATAGAATATGGGTAAGCTGCGTTGTTATCTTGTGTTTTTTTCACGCTAATTGGCATGGTCTATAAATACAACATGGTAGTTTGCTGAAGCACCCTTGCCACTAGAGACGGTGAGGCAAGAGGGCGACCGAACCACACAGAACATTACAAACATTTACATACACACTTTCGATATCCTCACTGGATAAACCCACTAAGACACTATGATACCACTTCTCATTACATATGCACAAGAAACCACACGCCAACAAAAGTGCAATCACCATGCGTATACTATACATGTGAGCCGTTCATGGCAAAACACGAATGGTGCATACCCATCCTCAACTCCAGACTATGCTAGGCAGTAGTCAATTGCGCCCTGTAAGTATGCCTCTCACACATATACAACATCATAGAGTTGGCCTGAACCATTCCGTCCGAAACTACAACTGAAAAAAAATTGACAGGAATATGCCGTAAATCATTTTACATGTATATACGCCTCACACACATATACAACATCATAGATTTTCTGAACCATTCTGTCCGAGGGTTTAGGTTTTAGGGGCTAGGGTTTGGAATATGATGCGTAATGTTTTACATTCCGTGATCTGATAAACACATAGACGCGCACCAACACAAACACACAAGTTATACATAGATACACAACGCCTACGAAGTCGATGACATAATGTATTATGCGTACACATACATAGTTAAAAATTGTAATTATACAGATATCGAATGTATATTTAGCAGTATACAGATGCTCACATGGATCAGAAACACCCACCGCGATATATTGCGCCCATCGAGACTCGTCACCCAGCGACATCTCGTGCAACAAAGCGATTGTCAAGCCTGTGAACACAACAATAGACGGGCAATCGATGTAAGGGAATGACATGGTAAGCAACGTACGAGTACTTATGGCCATACATACATACA